AGAGCCTGCTGTGCCCCTAGAGCCCTGCCTATAGCCTGTGCCTGTCCTATAGAGCCTGCCGTTCCCCTAGAGCCCTGCCTATAGCCTGTCCCCATCCTATAGAGCTTGGTGTGCCCCTATAGCCCTGCCTATAGCCTGTGATGGTCTGATAGAGCCTGCTGTGCCTCTACAGCCCTGCCTATAGCCCCGCCTATAGCCTGTGCCTGCCCTATAGAGCCCGTTGAGCCCCTATAGCCCTGCCTATAGCCTGTGCCNTGTGCCTCTACAGCCCTGCCTATAGCCCCGCCTATAGCCTGTGCCTGCCCTATAGAGCCCGTTGAGCCCCTATAGCCCTGCCTATAGCCTGTGCCTGTCCTATAGAGCCTGCCGTTCCCCTAGAGCCCTGCCTATAGCCTGTGCCTGTCCTACAGAGCCTGCTGTGCTCCTACAACCCCATTCCTACAGTCTATGCCCATGCCATGGAGCCTGTTGTGCGCCTATAGCCCTGCTCCTGGAACCTGTGCCCATCCTATAGATGCTGCCACACTCCTATAGTCCAGCCCTGCTCCCATAGGGTGTCTCCAGTGCTTGCTCCACTGATCCCACCCGGCTGACCCTGCATCCCTGCTCCTGCGGGTCCTCCTGCCCCTATAGCCTGTGGCCATTGCCGCCCCTATAGCCTGTGGCCATTCCCGCAGGCTCCCTGCAGTCCCTCCTGGTCGAGACCGTCCACATCCGCTTCCCGCAGCGGCTTTGAGCCCTGTCCAGGAATCCCGTCCGCCGGCAAAGGAGCCTCTCCGACTCATGAGCCCCATCTAGAGTCCAGCCTGTGGGAGAGGACTCCCCATCCAGGCCCCGAATTCCCAGAGGAATCCGGGGTGTCCTCCCCTTTCCTGCCCCACGGCTGGTGCTCCGGCCACAACCCCATCCCAGCGGGAAGCGCCGGGCGGATCATGGCTCGTGGCCATGGCAAAGCAATGCCAAAGGAGCCTGGCAGGGATCGGCGCGGCTCAGCAGCGCGTGGCGCATCCCAGCAACGCGCCGGTGCCAGCATCGGTCCCCAGGGAAAACAAATATTTGCCGAGCTCCTAAGTGCTCTTTCCCGCCTTGAGAAGCGACGCTGCTGTTTGCACGGAGCAATCGGAGCAGGAGGCCGGGCGCCGCCGCGGCGAAACCCGCCGTGAAGGGGACAGGATGGTGTCCCCCGTGTCAGCAGCCTTACCGGGGACGAGGTGGCAGCAGCGGTGCAGGAAGGTCTGGCTCGCGGTGTAGTTGCAGTAGACGGTGTTGAGGCCCATGCTGTGGCTCTCGAGCCAGTGCACGGTGGCGCGGCCGCGCGCGCACACCTGCAGCGCCCGCAGGCGCAGGGCGCCGCGCAGCTCCAGCCGCACGCGGCCCCGCAGCAGCTCCCCGACGCGGTAGGCGCCGCCGCCGCCCTCCAGCTCCACCGCCAAGCTCCGCACCCGCCCCGGCGGCAGCATCGCCCTGCAAAGGGGGAAAACGAGCAAAGGTTGCGCTTTTCAAAAAAAAAAAAATCCCCAAATCTCCTCGTTTATCCCCAGCGGGGGCGCACTGCGGTGGAGAAGGGGACGTGCGACGTGTTTTTAATCCGCGGCGTCGCCTTATCTGTGCGGCGCAGCCCGCGCGCCGGGACGTGCCCGTGGCGCCGTCGGCAGGGCGGGGGCCGCGCGCCGGCAGCCCCCCCGGCCCGTTTCCCGGAGCTGGGGGATCACGGTGACGGCTGCGCTCGGGCCGGGCTCCGCGGGCGTCACAGCGCGGAGCCCGTGGCTCCAAAGGGCCCCTCTCTCCTCTGCGTCTGAAGCTGCACCAAGCTGCAGAGGTGAAAGCCAAGCGAGGGGCCGCAGGTCCCCCCTGCAAGAGCCACACAGGGACGCACACATGGCCACATGGCCGCGCTCCCCACGTGTCCCCGGGCACCGCATGCGGCGAGGCCACCTCTGCGCAGGGCCAGGTCCCTCCTAGCACAGCGGCCCAGGGCGTTGCGGGATGTGCCGGGGGGAAGCTGCAGGATTGGGGTGCAGGACGGCCCCACACGTGTGGGGCGCAGGACCCACGTGCCCATGAACTGCGGCCGCCGCGTTCAGCCCCCAGCGCTCGGACACTTTGCACGGAGCGCCCGGGAGGAGCCTGTGCGGCGGCACCCGGCCTGGCGGGACGAGGCCCTCCCGCCCTCGTTCAACACCCGCACGGTGGATACCGCCATGCGCTCCGCATATCCCAGGGCGCTATCAGTCCTGCCGAAACGCTCGGCTCGCGCGCAGGGAAAGCGCCCGCTCCTCCCCGCCGGGAGCTTCGCACTGCCGGGAAGAGCTCCCGCTTCGTCCTGCCGCCCACGGACCTTCAGCCTCAGCCCCATGTCAGACCCCAGGCGGGTGATGGGGGCGCCCCCAGCCCGAACGCGGCCCCCAGGGCCCCTCTCTTCACCTCTCCCTCTGCCCTTTCCCCTACTCTGCCCGGGAGCCCTCAGTGGGTGCTGAATCCTGACCCGGGGCGCCCTAATTTTGCTCAGTCTCCCCATGTTTATTCTCGCTGTCTCTTGTTGTGTTCTCATCCCGCTCCTGAAATAAACACCCCCTGGAATAGCACACGGAGGGACCCAGCTGGCCAGGAGGAGGGCGCGGGAACAGTTAAGTAGCGGTGTTTAGTGGCAGGCCGGGCACAGGGAGTCCCTCCAGGACGCCGCTCGCTTGGCTCTCTGCTGGGGCTATAAACAGAGGCCACCGTGCCCACGGACACGTGGCTGGCGAAGCAGCAGCCATCGGAAACCGCTGGCAATGCCGGGGATTTGCTTAATGCCTCTGAATTGGATCCAAATCATTGGGACTGATTTGAATCCTCCGCCTTGGATTCAAACTCTCGCCTTTCCCCGACAAACACAACACGACTGCAAAAACAAACCAAACGGCAAGGAAAGAAGGTTCGGGCCACTAGTTTATGTCCCACAGCCACTCACGTCACCCGAGTATTTTAAACGTCGCCACATGATGGCAGGGAGCACCCACGGCTGGCACCAGACTCGCTGGGGAGCTGACATCAGCTGTCCAGGTCCCCTCCCACGCTGAGGCAGCAGTAGCAGCCGGCGCCTGTCTCCATTTTCCCTGCTTTGCCTTTGCAGGGACTGGATTCCTTCTCCGGCTGGAATGCAACATGGGAACGCGCTGCTTTAACTGTGCCTCGATGCTCCCACCACTGCTTTTGCCGGCGGCCGCTGCCCTTGGGCTTTTCCGTACGGAAAAGCGTGGCGATGGGCACGGAGAGAGTGGTTGGCGTGGGGGGCACACGGGGCACACGGGGGACACGGGGACGGCGCCGGCAGCAGCGCCGGGAGGCGGGACGGGCCCGGGCAGGCTCGGGGCGGGCGGCCAGGCCGGGCCCGGCCGTCGCCATGGAGACGCCGCGGGTCCTCCACGCTCCCGGCAGCCTCCGCGCCACCCGGAAGCGTTGCTATGGCGG